TTTGGGTCCGGTCGTGGGGCCTGAACTCTGGGCCTGGGCGCTGTCCCTCAGCTCTTCAGCTCAAGGCTAGCGCTCTACCACTTGAGCCACAGCACCACTGCTTAAGTGGTGCTGAGGAATCGAACCCAGGGCCTCACGCATGCAAGGCAAGTGCTCTACCACTGAGCCACCTTCCCAGCCCTGGCTGGTGCTTTTCTATGAGCCATTTTTCCAGTCCTAACTTTTGATGGTTATTTGTCGATAGAAGCCAGCAGACTTGTTTGCCGTGATCCTCTGGAACTTACCTTTGAGTAGCTAGGATTACAAGTGTTGGATACTAGTGCCTGGCTTATTTGCCTGTTCTTGTAATTGTAACACCTAAAAGGAGGTAGTAGAAGGGAGCTGACTACTTTTTTTGAGCTTACTACCAGCTTCTAATTTAGTTTTGTCTTTTCTATAAGTAAGCTATGTCATCTTAAAAGAATGTTGCTCAGGTTACTTTGTTAGAAGCTATACTTTAGCTAGAGACATTTCCCTTGAATTTGATTGTAAATGCCTTAGAGAAGGGTGCAAACTTGTAAGATTCAATTCCTGGACGGCTCGCCAATCTCTGTCATTGGATGATGGATGAGGGCTTCCCAGCTTTCACGCAAAATCACTGGCCCTTGAGGTCCATGTATAAATAGAATTTCGGGGTGTCTCGCAAACAGGAAGTATCACAAGGTGGAAGTTTTTGATCATTGAAAAATTGTGTGTTGTGCACAGATTTATGTCTTTTGCTCATCACTAATGAAATGTATGGATTAATTATTAATTGTGGTAATAAACTTAGTATTGGGATTTTCCGTATTTGTTGACTTCTCTTAATTGTTTGGTTTTTCAATGTATCTAAATGGTAATAAAAAAGTAATTTCAAGTGATAATGAGTTATGCTTTTAAAAATAATTATTATAAAACTACTAGTACTTTTTCATAGCTAAGGTATGGTGTGGAGGCATGCTGCTATACCTGCCACATGTAATTGACTTGATTGTGTAACAAGTGCCTGATAAAGTATCTCTGTTTGATGCATGTGGTCCAGAATATGGGGGCTATATACATTTTTCACACATAGATATAATTCATTTCTCTATACAATCTGAAAGGTCACTTTATTATAACTTAAAATTCCTAATTTGGTTCTTCAGAATAGTCTCTGTGATAGGCTGCTTTTAATGAAAAAATAACTGGGTTTGGAAAAGATGACCTCATTTTCTTTGACAGCAGATTTTTTTTCTCATAAGCAAATAGGCTTTGGTTATTCATCAAAATAGTAGATGAGTACAGGGCTCCATTTACTAAGACTATGCTTGTCTACTAGGTATCTGGCACCAAGTATGTTCTGAGAAGCCCTCATCTGAGTGATAACCTGCTTGTCCATGAGAAGAGAGGTCAGAGTAGATTTGGTTCTGTAAATGTTCAAGGGCTGGTTCCTTTCTCCTTGACCTCTTAAATTCTGGCGATTGTTTATG